TCTTATAAAAATCTCTTTGGCTTAGTGTACGGACGATTTTGTCTTGAAAATTGAAAGTAAAATTTGTAAAAATTTAAAATTTTCAATAGCCGCTGACTACCGCTTTGGTTCCGCATAGTTGAACGTAGACACGAGATAACGACATCGTAAATAATCCCTTTTCAAATGATTCGTACGTATCGAATCACGAAGTGCACGCGAGTTATCACAGTTTGCGGTTTACAACAAAGCGCACGCGATGATCGATCGAGCATATTAATGCTGGGCTCACTATAAATCACAAGGCGGTAAAGTCACGTAATCCTTTTATAGTGTCCGACATGTTGATGGGAATATACCTCTTCATAATCGCCATAGAAGACGCGAGGTTTCGCGATAACTACAAAGAAGAAGCCAGTACATGGATGTCCTCATGGCCCTGCACGCTCTTAGGTGCGCTGGCGATGACATCATCCGAGGTATGCACATTAACACCTCGCTGAATCCCACAATTTTCAATTCGCAACGTACAATTGCTATTTAACGGTACTATTTATAATGACCGCTTACGCTACTATTCAGCGAAATCTGGTAGCCGTGACAAAGTCGACATTAGTGATATTATATATGTAGCGCACATTTAATTTTATTTATGTAATTATAGCTGTAAAGCATTTCCGATTCAAATCGCAATCGTTGCTCGAATAGATATCGATGCGCGGCATCCGCATATTTCTTGAGAAACGAGTTCAGTAGATTTAAATGTAACTTTTCCTTCGCGCACGATTCTAATTTCTTCAAATAGCAGTATTACAGTTAGATATAAATTGAGATTATAAAGGTTGAAAAAAATCGAAAATTAAAATAGATGATTGTAAATTGCTTGGCAAGGTTTCCGTGCTCATCCTGTCATTTATGTCCGTGGAGCGATTTATTCTGATCGCAGCACCTTTGAAGTGTCATCGCGCCATGACATCTCAAGCTGCATCCTCATCGATGATCGTCATCTGGATCATCGGACTTATCATCGCTCTTGTGCCAGGTTTGTTTACTTGAAAGAAGAATCTGTTTATTTAATTTTCTTAATTTCTAACAATTTTTCTTTAATTTTTTTTTGAATTTTTATTTATTATATAGTTATATTATAGTTTATAGTTATATTAATTATATCTTACACAGTAAAATATAAACATTTTCAAATTCATATTTCAAATAATATAACAAAATATATATCTAAATCACCAGTCATTATCTTAATAAACCTAAGAATTTTTTCGAGAGAAAATAGAAATTTTCCATATATATATAATCGTTTGATCGTTACGGATTAATGTTTTCTCTGGACCTAAAAGTTATCCATTGGAGAAGCAGCACAAGATTCTATGGTGTCAATGGAATGTGCTTTCCTCTACATATAGACGATCCATATCTAATAGGCTGGGAATACTCGGCTTTTATCTTTCTGGGACTTAATCTCATCGGGTAAACTGCACATTACTACAAGAATCTTGCAATTGAACCATGGATTAAATTATGCGATGTGAAACCAGCTGCCATTTTTTTTTAAGAATGTATTATAATTTATTGATTTGATCTCCTTGATTTTCTGATATATCGCAGCAAAATTTCTAAAACCTAGAAAAGTTATATCCGAATAGCTAGTTTTTGGAATTGGTTCTACATTACGTAATTACATCTAATCATTATTGTATCAGAATTTTCGAGTAAGTTCCAATTATGTCAACGGTACAGCGTTCGTCAAAAAATTTAATCAACGTATCACGAGGCTTGATCGATTTCGTGATTGCCATAATATTGCGTTGGAAGAAGGGGGCCTTTCCAGGCTATCATTGCACTCATTTGCAGATTGATGATTATCGGTTACGTTTACGTTGCCATGTTCGCCAGCATCTGGAGAACACGCCGTGCCACGCCGTTGTCGGTCGGCGATTCCGAGTTCGCCCTCAGGTTCTTCCTAATCGTGTTGACAGACGCGGCATGTTGGGCACCGATTATAGCGTTGAAAATCCTCGCCATGATGAAATATCCCGTGCCACGTAAGCAGAAACGCTGATGCGAGTTTTCGCGTTCCCACACCGACGCGGCATCGTCTCCGTTATAATCTACTCGAGAAATATGCATGCAAATCTTAAGCTTTACTTTTCAGCATGCTATACTGTTGTAACAAAAAATGAATAAAGTATTTACTTTTTATTTTATTTCGAGGGAAAATTAATCTAAAAATTTTTGTTTTGTTAAAATTATATAAAACATAGAATATATACTTAAAGTAATATATAAACAAGATCTATATAAAAAAAAATGTTAACTGCATAAATTCAGATATTTAATAGCGCAGTTAAATGTAAATATAATGTTAATAATTAAGTGAATAAAATTTATAGCCGATTTGCACGCTTGGATAGTGATTTTCATTCTGCCGGTAAACAGTGCGATCAATCCGCTGTTGTACACTTTTACCACGCCGAAATTTCGCGAAAGACTCAACGAGGGCTGGTTCGGAAAAGTGCGCAGCTACATAGCGAGGAAACATTCCAGACAAGGTTTGTGTTCCTATATATAAGTATAAATTGCTTAAACTCTCCACTCATAAAACGTTTATCGCTTTTATTACAGATTCGCAGGCATCAGCTACTACCAATAAAAGCACGATTATCGATAGGATACAGCTATACTGGACACCCATGTGGAACGAATACGATAACGAGAGAAGGAGAACACCCCCTTTGCTTGACGATGAAAGACCTCGAGTCGAGAGGCCCGATTAAAATTTAGTAATTTTCTTATTAATTATATCGCGCTTCTATATCAAATGTTACATAAATTGCTCACGCCGATATTCGTGCATTGCAAAGCTGATAGGTTGTAATTATAAATGAACTATAAATCTTCATATGTACTATATAGCCATACATATCCATTGTAGATAATAGATTAAAACTACCAATAGTGAAATTCTATTATCTGCTAATCGTTGAAGAAGGAAATCTTTACGAATTAAAAAAATGTAATGTAATGTGAATTGAACTCAATTAATTTGGATTACGTCACGTTAAAGGAACTTTCTATAACATGCCGTAGAGAGAATGGTTATTTGCTCTGCTTCACTGATTGCCGCGAAAGATATTTTCGTCTACTTTTTAGAAAATCTGTCTTACAAGATAATGCCGCTGTTGTTTAAGAATGTGCACTGCTTTCATATTTCTTCGGCTCTGCTAATGCCATTTTACTAGCGGCAACTCGGCAAGAAGCTTAGCTTAGATATCGTGCTCTTATCCTCGTTTCTTCGGAGATTAACCGTAAGAAAGGTTATATACCCAGAATACGCTCCGTTTCTGAATGTATTGTTTCGCGCATGGGTGATCTCGGTATGCGGATATTTCAATTGTAACGAACTCTGATGGCCCCCCGACGGAGTATATCCACCCACGAGTCGAGAGCAGATCGTGCTCGAAAACGTACATAAATTATTTTCCGACGAAGTCGGAAACGCTCCGAAAAATTTACGACATCGATTCTGATGTACCGGCAAATCATGTTCCACCGATGTGGCACCGTTATGCCGGGTCAGCGCCACTTGTTCCGTATTATTATTGCGAGATGAGAAATTTATCTTCGAACACACGGGCGTGACTTTTTAACGGCGGACCGCCGCTGTACGCTCTAAAACGGGCACTACATCACTCAAATACACTCGATTAGTCGGTGTAAGACCATCATCGGTCGGCGCGGCCATCCCTTCAGATGACTTACGAAGCGATAATAAATGATAAAGACGAAGAAAGCAAGGATAAGGAATTACTGACAATTAATTCCCATCTTTGTGAAGATACGCGTGTTGTTCCCTCTCCTTCGCTTTGATATATTAAATTATCATGATTGTATGACAAGATCTATGCAAAATATCAAATTGACAAAGTTAAAATAGCTTATCACATCTTTTAATAAAACAATAATCTATAACAATCAAATATTATAGAAAATTATCTTGCAATTAAATAATACAATATAATTTATTACTTATTAAATTTATATACGATATAATCATAGTGTTTTTATATAAAAAGGAGATCTACAATGAGTAATAATGATATTATAGATATAAAGAAAAATATGTTTTAAAAATATATTCGAAATATTGCATTAAACAAGACGGCATCCCAATACGTATAATTTGAAAAAATGCTTTCGTAAAAAGAAAAGTTGAAAAAATGGAAGGTAGAAATGAAGTAGAATAATTAACTTGCTTATTTATACATCCGTTTACGAATGAACTCCTCAGTAATCCATTAAAACGCGCGGAGGTATAAACAGCGAGAGATGCAACGATATCCGACTTCCAACTTTCGGAGGGTTACAGTCGGCCGTAAATCATGCGAACGGCCAAGAAAAATGCATCTCGCGAGCACTCTACGATCTACCGGCACGTGGGTTGGCTCTTACGCGATATAATGTGTAATTTATGGCGGATGGCCAATGGTAAGGTCCCGTTAAGGGACCTCGATACTTCGCCCGAGACAGACCGCCTTTTAGGACTGACTTTTCTTCCGCCTTAAGCTGCTAAGATTTCTTCGGCTACAATACAATTACGCCACGACGTGGGCGGATATGCGTTATGCGATCGTCCACGAAATCGTCTCGGAATAAAAAGAAAGCAAACATCACGGTACACAACGATGTGGGTAGGCTGGTAGGCAAACCGGTGTGACGTATTGGTGCAAATATTGTTGAATTATCGAGTCATGGTCTAAACAAAAGCTGCTGTTTCATCGTAGCCATTCGAGAGCCTTTCTTATCCAAAAAGGAAGACGAGAGATTTGTACTTCTTGAGTTTATTTTTCTTTTTCGCTAATTCATCACAAGTTTCTTATTCAGAATTCATATAAGAAATACAAAGTGAATATATATTCATCTTTCTTTAGTACGCTTTTAGTAAAACTCAAAAGTTTATATTAAATATATATATATAATAATAATTGATTATTAATTTATTTGATTAAATAAAATAATCGTCGATTTTGTTGATAACATAAATATCAATAGTCATCGTATATTTTTCGGAAACAATTGACAAATTCCTAATAATATTTCTAATATTTTTGATATCTTTTAAATTACAGTTCCTACATGTATTTTAATTTCAACGAACGTTACTCTCTATTTGATATACATGACAAAAAGAATTTTCTAAATACGATAACGGCGTCGAGGCACCGACCGGAAGGCAGGGAACGTGAAGGAATTTCTAATGAACGTACAATGTATACATATGGTGTCGCACAACGTGAATTGTTATAGCTCTTGGCAATAGAGGAGAATATTTTGCACGCAGGCACGCACGCACGCACGCACGCGCTATACAAAGCGAAAGCGAACAGGATCGCAACCTTCCGAAGGCCTTCCCGAGAATCGCTCCGGGTAAGTACCTGTCAGTAGCACAGAATGCAGAAAAACGCCGTGCAGCCATCTTTATAAGTGTTAAATAAACGTCGTTAATATCATAAACATCAAACTAATGATATTTTTGCTCATTAAGACTAACAATAAGATGTTCGAATGTAACGAGATACATGAGCTATCTTTTATTTTGTTTGCACAAGGTCTTGACTCTTCCAAGTTCTGAAAACGTTATATAATTTAAAAAACGTTTTAATTATTCAATCCCATTTTCTTTTAATTTATTAAAATGGAATTGATAGACGACCAAAAGATCGAAGGCATATGCCTTCTGTGGGCTCCAACAATGGAAAGGTCTTGAAAACGTTAATAAAGTCTCGAACAGATCGCTCGCCAATCTACGAAATTGGCCGGCGCGATTCGCAAAGAGTTAAAGACGGCCATCAGACGATCTCCGGCGCGAAATCGATGCGAAAGAGCCGCCCGCGCCACGGATCTTCCTTCCCACAATTATAGGGTATAAAAATTCTTTCGGATTTCAGTCACGCGAGCGAAGGCTGCATTCGGTCCACGGGAAGAAGATTTACGTGCGAGGCGGTAATTGGCGCCGGTTCGAATTTTTACAGCGGTGGAAGATCTTCGGGATACAGCCTCCCGCGCGCGATAAGAGAATGTAAGATAGCGCCGTGTAAGATATCGAAGAATGCTCAGTTGAACGCGACTGTATAATATTTACGCTCCAATGCGATCGTCAGCGTGACGCTGTGCAATAGTGAAAGCCGAATGTAGAGTCTTTCTTTTCGTCCTAGTCCGTGATTACATTGCGTAATATGTTATATGGCCGCTCGTAGATCGTAAAATATATTACAATACGTACATTACAATGCGTTGAAGGGAAATATATAACTCGACGCAAATGATCAATAACTCGATCAACAATTCAATCGCTACGTATATATCATTATAGCCGTTTCCACCTAGCCGTTCAATTACACCGACAAATTTCGAGGAAATTTGAAATTTCATTAGTGGCAAAATGCATTTTATGCTGCGTAAGAAGATAGGAAACGTTAAGATAATAGATTTACGCATCGTATCTATTCAGCTATTCCTTCATATGCATTCGTACGTAATATCCATCGATTTCTCAGAGAATATTCTCTGTCGATTTATAAATACGTGCCGGAAGCGTACTCTAATGAACTCTGGTCGTCGATCGATGATACTTCTGTCGATCATATCCTTGAGTACCGTACAAAGAATCCGTTCAAGATCACAGCAATAGCGATGAGACCAACGCGTTCACCTATTACATTCTATTACATGAATTACGTTCATTACGCTCGGGGATAGTCGACGCGAACGACGGCAGAGGTGAGATTGACGGGAAATAGATGATAATACTATTACCGATACGTAATAATCATATGTACAGTGAACGTATAATAAGTCGCAAATAATTAGGTCGCGATAATATCCCTTGGGGGGACACGGTCATAAATCATTCACAACAATAATATTGTAATGATTTTACTATGGTATATTGTTACTCGTTACATTTTATACACGTATCGTTTTTCTCGTATCGTGAAATTACTGTTTTAACTTTTGTTATAATCGTATAAGAAATAGAAGGTGAAAGGGCAATTAACGAGCAGCGAAACAGACACGAGATTGCAAAATACACGAAAGAAAGCTGGAAATTCCAGACACATCGTGTTTGCGAAATGAGATCCACTAAAACGGTCGAAATTTACGCTCTGGCGTCGTCGCGTGCGAACGCACGCATGTGAGCGCGAGACAGTGAAAGGCGTTGGAAGTAGGAAGACACAAAAGAGAAGCTGGGGAAGAAAGGATGTGAAGAAGCACTGCTTGACACGCTCGCCGACATATTAAATAACGCGACAGCTGCGGAATACGCGGCACCGATACCTCGCGGCTCGGCCGGTACTTCTTTTATATCGTTGCTCGCAAATTATTAACCTTATGCGGCCTCCCCGAGATTCAGTTTGGATCACTGCACGTTTCTTCTTCTGTTCTGAGAAGTTTCAGTAATTTCTCAAAGTCTTTCTTTCTTCGAATTCTAGAACGCCGTTGCAATACTGAAAAAAATATTAAAATGGGAATGCTTTTTTTAAATTAAAATAAAAATTAATAGTGTTCATTGAACGTCGATAAAGTATAAATATAAGCAAAGGGCGAGCTTGAATTTTAATCAAGGTTTTCTGACGGATCTTGGTCGTAACAATAATCGTACGATCTCACTGCACGCTTTGTATATACGCCGTGACAAGATGCACAACGATATTAAACCAGGTCGAGTCCGGACCCAAGATGGGTCCAGCACTCTTGAAGAGATCGAAGAGCGATGACGCGAGCCACCGGAATGCTCTGCGTGAGGGATGCATTCGATTCGTGTGTATCGTGTGGCATCGCGTCACGGTGTCACATTGCCATACCTGTCAATTACAAAACCGTTTCTGCGGTCGGCTGCCCGGCAATGAGCAACATATCGCGACACGGTCATCGACTCGCGTGCTACAAAAACCTCACGGTGTGCACGCACATCCGTGGTTAAACAGCGGTATACGAAAACGCACGCGCGTATTGCCTAAATTTCTGTTACACATCAAATATAAAATAAAAGGATTAATAATAAAAAGTATAAAAATAATAAGTAAAATAATAAAAGTGAATTAATAATAAAATAATAAGAAAATAAATGTAAGTTTTCATCTCGGTTGCGAAATAACTGTAAAACAACGTGGCGTTAAACTCGATAAGCTCAAGTGAGGAAATCAGTGTCAAATCATTCCAGGACGGAATGCATGAGCGGGTCGGTATCCTTGATACCGACGTTCTCCTATCAACGCGGCTTATGACTATTAATTAAAAGCAGCAACGCTCGCTTCGGCATTCGTGCGGTCACCGACACGAAAGCAGAAGGCGGAGACTCGCATAAACAACCACGCGGACGGAAATTAATGCGCCGCGCCGCGCCGCGCCGCGCGCCGGTGCGAAATGCAGCGAAACTATCTGCCATTGCGGATAATTAGTCGGGCGCCAATGCTGGCGCGTAAGGCTGAAATGGAAAAAATAGCGCGATCTCAATTGCGCTTTTTCAATGGAAGTGTTTAATTAAATAAACGATCACCGTCGTAAGTCAACGTAAAAGTAATAACGGCATCAAGAGAGAGTTTGGTTCTTATAAATTTCCTGTATTATAATACAGAGGTCAAATATAGAAATAACACGATGGAATTTTAATGAATCTCGACTTGTACCATTTTCGCTTTCAAATCTTCGGTCGATAAAAAATATTTATTATTACGAAATCATTTAACATTTCATATGTAAACTGGAAAGTTATCGCGATGATAAATCCTCGATGATATAAGTAGATAATTCTTGTTTAAATATTAATCGCACTTTCTCTTGTAGGAGTTTAAGATTTAGTCGTCGAGACACCTTATAACGTGGAGGATTACAGCTGCGACAAAGAATAACTTTCGTTTAGGGTAAAAAAAAAACGATTCTAAGTCTCAGAATCCGTGGATGAAAAAGGATAATCCTCGTTTATTCCATACGTACGCGCGCCCGCAAATGGCAATGGCGAAATAATGCTGAAATAATAACCGCAGGTGGACCGTAAAGTTCAACCGATACATACGCGGACGTAAGCTTCGCGTATGTAGGAACGCGCGGCGGCGATTCGAGTCGCGCGCACGATCTCTTTTCTCACGTCGTGGAAACTCGAGGACGCGGCCTCATACTCTTTCGGTCATTAGCTCGTACCCCCGTAGGCACCCGCTCCCACCCCGCCATACGGCGGCACTTATGTATTATTTGCATCCGACGACGTAAGTCCCGATGGCATGCGTACTCTCGGACTCCGCTGCAGTGTGGCCGTCACAGAATGCAGTCGGCCGGCGCGCGGCGCGGCGCGGCGCGGCGCGGCACGGCGATGCAACGGCGCGCGAGTGCGTGTACTTTGCGTGGCGCCCGCCGCCCTAATCATCCCCAGCCGGCCGGTCCCGCTCCGTTCTCTGTGCTCTCACTTACCCACTTACTTAACCCACGTAAATTGCATCCTAGTAAGAAAAAAAGCCCCGCAGTGAATTAATCTCCCGACCGGCAACGCCGACTGCAGGCGTTATAAATATACATGATACTGTCGGTCCTCTTGCCGGGCTCGAGAAAAACGCTTCGGGAAATAACTATGAAAATGCAGACATTCATGAGGATTTCGTTGTTTCTTCGCCGTGATTGGTGAAGAAAGAGAAAGAAGGGAAAAACATACTCTTTTCGTGGTATTTCATAATTTTAAATTGATCGATCATTAATTGACAGATCAAATTTAGCAACTGAACTAATGGAATGGTGTTAATACACCATTCCATACGTCAGAGGCTTATTTGTGTCGATTTATCGCAAAGAAAGAAACGCGAATCGCTGCTCGTTCGAGATCATCCATTTCATATCTGATTGTGAGACTTAACTTAATAGACTAATTAGCAAGAGGAAGCTAATTAATTAGTCTTCCTTAATTATGTTCTCATCATTAAATAAGAACAAAAAAAAGTTTACCTTAAGTTTCGAAAATTTAGATAATTACAGAACCTTAAATCAACGTACAGATGATTTATAGTGCTATTGACTTTGTTCTTCTTCATTCAGTATCGTCAAATTAACTACAAGAGCCCTCATTGAGATGCCGCTTATCAGTTAAACTCTGAGATATCGTGATCTATCTTCGCACATCTAAATTCGCGGTGCTCGTGTAGTTTCTCACTTTTCGTCTCACACCGAGTCGAACGAGACGCGAACGAGGCTCTCTTAGTGACTTAACGGTACCTCCTAAAGAACAGATCATGGCATTGTTCCAGCGGCAGTGCTTTCGCAGTCAAACTCGTTTCGAGTAAATCTCTCACAGTACCCTTATACCGTCAAGAGAGATGATGAAAATTCTTCCGAAGCGGTTTCGCCACCGTAATCTCAAGAAAATAATTTTCGTTATTATAACACGTGCGAGACGCAAGAGAAAATAATAATAACAATAATAATATACATATAGAAAGTCTACATATAGAAAAATATATATTGGAGACATAAATGATTGTTGTTATCTCGGGGCAATATTTTAATCTCAGAAACATTACAGTGTGATTATCGTCAATTGAATTAAAATGTAAATGTATATATCTTAAACAGAATAATTTGCATGCAGACAACAACGGGGGGAAAAAAATACTTTTACAGAGAATTACAGAGGGGTAGAAAGATTGCTCTGGAGTAATTCCATTACGACCCTCGGAGGTTCAGGGACTAGAAGGGGTCAATCACATTTCTCCGTGACCGTTCCCAGGTCTCCTCTCAAGTACGTAAACGGAAGAAACGCTGACGGGCAAAGTGGCTAAAGGTTGCCGCGGTACTTTCACCATCTGGCGTGAGTAAGTTTGGAATGCTAGATTACCATTAGAGTGCACCACACCAATATCTCTTGCCTCTAGTAACTGAATTATGAATTGCTTCATTTATTTATTTATCTCTATATAAATTGCAAAGAGAGAGAATTTCCTTGTATCATTATTCATACATATTTTTTATAATTACTAATTCTTCTTAAAAATAACCTCGCAAATGTAATGTTTAATATTATTATATGTTGTAATTTAATTTTTTTTAATTTATAATTTCTCTTACAAAATTGATGAAAAAGAAACTTTTGAGCTTACAAAGTACTTTATCAAATCAAATGTGGTCCAAATCACATGTATTTTCGAAATTCAGTTCGTACCTTTGGACAACTCCCTCGCTTTGAATGAAATAAGGAAGGAACATATTAAAATAGAACAATAAATGATGCTTGCGCGCATGTCATCGCGCGTTGCGAGATGTTTAGTGCACACCATGTCGTGTGTTTCTGCGACCGCTGCGTTTAAATTACTCGATAATAGCCGCGCTTAATCCGCCACGCGGTTCAGTTACGGCGATTTGTTAGTCATCCGCGACAGTTACATATAGTCCCGCCCTTAAATCCGACTTTTTACGGCCACAATCAAGCAGCGCGGGCTAAAATTCATTTGGTCCAACTATTAAATCACGTGCCTATCGCGTGCCGCGCAGTTTCGCACAGTCGGCAAGTCGTGCATAATTTTGCGGCTCGTATAATATTAATGGAGATGTTAATTTCACGAAAGGAGAAAAGCCCACGCAGTTTTTCTTGAGGCACATCGGGCCGATGAATTCGCGCGCGACAGTCACCTGTCAACGTTCACGAAAGATACGACGCACCTAATTGTAAGTTATTTCCCCATAATAAGGGCGTGACACACTGGTCTCCAAGTTTTGTTAACTTCACGAGGATGTGCCGGTATTATTCCTTGTCATCCGCAATGTAAGCGCGTTATCGCCAACAGTGTGTGTTAATGCGTTACTGCTTTATTTCTCTCGCGGTATATCGCCTTACATGGCGTAAGTTTCAGGAAAAGGAGAATCTTCGGAAAGAAACAGTGCGTAGAATACAAATGGTCCGCATATCCTCCGTGGACCGCTTAATAACTTATCTCGCCCCTAGTGAGATAATCCATTCTAGCGTTTAATTTATTACCGTCTCGATTCCCAAGATTAATTCTTACTAATTCGAAATTAATTCGTGCACACCGTACTCCGTACCTCCAAATCGTTAGCAGCTTGTTATACCTAATGATTAATGATTCGCCATAACGAGGTACCGTCGAAAAACTAGCGTTAAACAACCGAACTTCTAATCGTGAAACGAGTGATTTTCTTCGTAGAATAAGCGCGGAGCTTACTTTCTTTCTGTCTTCTTTAAGATACCCATTTTTCTTCGTCCGGCCGAAGCTAATCGTGTTGTTAAGGAAAGTGATTTATTATAAGAGATTGGCCGGCTACCAGCTGCGTTTATGGGAAATAACGGTACACTCCGTGCATTATGCAATCGCGAGATGCGTAACGTCGAAGTAGTTGAGCACTCACGTGAGGATGCAACGGGGCACAATATGCACATAAAGATGAGAAAGGATATGAACCATCGGCAGGAGGGATTGAAGGGGGACGAGATAGGTGACAGAAGCTCGCT